AGCATTAATGCTGTTGAATATCTCATTAATTGTCATAACAGTGATCCTAATATCACTGATCTCAAAGGTATGACATCTCTTCACCATTCTTGTCGTAATGGTCATATTCACGTCACTCAATATCTCATTGAGGTACAGCATTGTGATTTTAATAAAACAGATAATGAAGGATGTACATTAGTACATCATGCTGCAAGTAGTGGTAACTTTAATTTAGTTCAGTATCTTATTACTGAACAAGGTTTGTCTCCTACTGCAGTCGATAAGAATGGCCTCACTGCTTTACATTATGCTTCCCGTACTCTCAATTTGCACCTTGTTCAAGAATTAGTAGTTACCCATCAGTTGGATCCACATCAAGCAGCCAAAAATGGTAAACTTCCAATTCATGATGCTGCTCAATCTGGTGCTGTTTTTATTCTTGATTATTTTGCGAAGTCTTGCAAGTGTAACCTTAATCAAACAGATACCAGAGGTTGGAACATTTTTCATTATTCATCTGAAAAAGGCAACTCACATTTTATAAAGCATTTCATCAGCCAGTATCCTGAATGCAATAAATTGTTGCACACTGCTGAGACCATGGATAGTCTACCATTACATTTTGCTTGTCAGAGTGGTAATGCCCAATTAGTCACATTTCTAATAGATGATATGAATTGTGATGTCACAGCTACCAGTGTACATGGTAAGAGTTGTGTCTCCCTTGCCTGTTGCTCAAAAAATCTCAATCTAGTCCAGCTACTTATACAAAAATACAAACTTAATCCTGTTGCTGCTGATAATTATGGTTTCACAGCATTACATGCAGCAGCACAAAATAATTGCATAGATATATTAGAATGGTATAGTCAACAGTATAACATGGATATTGCCAACCACAGCAGCAAACACAAATACACATTAGCTCATTTAGCTGCTTATAATGGTGAATTAAAATTTCTTAAGCATCTGATCAATGAGTATCAGTGTGATGTTAATGCCACTAGTTCTGATACTGGTAGTACAAGTCTTCATTTAGCATGTGAAAATGGTCATCTCCCTGTTGTTCTTTACC